TTTAATATATCTCTATATACATCAATTAAAACATATTGATATCTATATACTGCATATTCAAATCTATCTATGTATCTATCTATTTATCTATCTATCTTTATATTCATTCTCTCAATTGGCCATGGTAGGATTTTCAGATTATAACCCTGATCTTATTCACTCTTCCCTCATCTTATTGTTCTATTTTCTTGGATGCCAACTGGGTTTTCTCTCCATCTACACTTTTGTTTCCCCTGCGTAGCTGGATAAACTAGTATTTATGGAAAATTCGCAGAGAAACTGAGTTGTGAGGTCCTGTTTAGTAAAATGAAATAACATTTTAAAACCCAGTCACAAATGTCTGTTTAATAATTCTTGATTGCTGGCCTGAGACTGGTTTCAATATTTCTGAGTATTCGATGCCTGGAAGCTAGCACAAAATGATGATCTAAAACCACCAGAAATTTGCTTCCTGTGGTTCTGAATGTGAAAGCAGAAACTTTCGGGGCAGCCTCCTTTTTTCCTTTGTGAGAGATCATATTGGTGAGCCTTCTCCATCATACCCACTTCCATTAACTACTCTCTGCCCTTGAGGTAACTCAGGGCTTGGGAGAGTCATCCAAAAGCAAATACTTTATAATGGAATATTAAATATTCTGTTTAATAATATAAAAGGCTGTCCCAAGTGGTGAGGAACATCCATACAGATTTCTATTTTCTTTAATGATGTGTTTAGCATTTCCCCTGACCTGCCTGGAAATAGGATTTGTGTCTAGTGTGTGGGATCTGGGACTGAGGGAGCAAAGAGATGTGAGGAAGGACTCCCATTGGCTGATGGGATGAGGAGGTCAACTCTGTAACTAGACAGACTAATGTTTGGAATCTATTTCCAGGGGGAAAATGGGAGGGGAGGGGACTTCCATTAAGATATTAGTTAACTAACTTATGAATGTCCCTGAGAATTCTGTATGCACTACTAAGGCAATTTGTTGTTTGAAATATCTATGGAAGCTCCTTAAAAAACCCAGGGGTATTGCCTTTTGTATCTGATACAATCCTTAGAGCCCCATGGTCAGCCTCCTTTTTGGTCAACTCCAGCTAACAATCACACCAGTCAGAAGCTACTTTGCAAGTGGCAGTAATTTCAAAGCATACTAGCATATTTAGAAAGGGGCTTCCCTCTCTCCTCTGCTTCTCACCCATTGTCCTTTATTTCTTCACAATGGAAAATGCTTTCATCCTTGTGATAGATTAATGCTTCCTTGACTTCATGCCTTCTAGTTCCTTGACACCAAAGGTTCCAAATAGAAAAATTCAGGGAAGAACTCTGATTGGCCCAGCCTAGATCACACACTCACTTCTGGCCTAATCACTCTGAGAAGAAGGTGTTGTGATTGGTCTGATTTGGGTCATGTGCCTCACTTCTGTGGCCAAAAGGGTGAGGTACTGGCCTGATTTTCAACTGCCAGCTCTGACATCTCTGAGTAAGAGTTCCTCTGGCCACTAGAGCTCACTTTGTCAATGAGCACATTGCAAGTGCTGAGGTATAGCTGTCTCCTGGTCCTCAACCAATGACTAATGGGAGTGAATATATAGATACTAAGGTGTTCCCTTCTCCTGGGGTGACAGGGTTCTGAGACATGCACTCTACACCAACATACCAGAATTCTAGAGTGGAATTAAACTCAGGTTCACCACAGTTGCTTTTGGCTTAGCATTGCATTCTCTATCTGCTTCTTTCTCTTCCCTGTTTCACTCCTCCTCCACTTTACCAGTATTTCCTGAGATCATCTCCTCTTTATGCTTCTTGCACTTGAGTCCTTGTCTCAGTGACTTCTTCTGGGGAAACCCCACTAAGGCAGTTACCATGATTGACAGCTCATCCAGAGACTCACGTGGGATGGGGAAGTGCCAGAGGAAGTGGTAACTCGAGTAACCAAAGCTGTCCACTAGAAAAATAAGTCATGAGGAAAAGCACAGAATGAGAACTTACAGTAAGCCACTTCCAACTGGATCAACATTTGGGCACAAAACAGCTCTGAACAGATATGACCAGGGCAAGCAGACAGACCTTCCCATCAGGTTGCTCTGGAGAGGAAAATGTCAAGGGACCTTGGGGTCTAGGGTCCAGTGAAAGTTATATCTTATACAATATCTTTTCCACCATTAATTCATTAATCTTAAGCTTCTCCTGCCCTACTGAATCCTAGCCAAAAAGCTATCATGGAGAAAGATAGGGCTGTCTCCTCAGATGCTGGCCAGAGGCTGGGCACTTGGCTTATGTTTGATGACATTTCCATTAGACAGTTGGGCTTGTGTGATGGCCTGTGCATGTGCAGTGATAAAAATGCTCTCCTTATCTCTGTGTCTCAGCTGTGAAATCCCTGCCTCTTTCCATTTGGGTTTATTGGTTTCTAAAGCCCAGCTCTTCCATGCATGTCATGGGATGAATTGTCTAGAAGCAGCATTTAAGAGGGGTACAGGGCATGAGACTTGAGAGAGTGCCTGCCAGGTAACACACACACACACACACACACACACACACACACACACACACACACACCCCTTTAAGGCTGTGAGGAAAACAAAATGTTAAAGATAAAGAAGACACACATAAACTTGTCCCAATCCCTGTGAGCTGTGTTATCTATTGCTCCATAATTCATCCCCACCTGAGACCAAGGCTGGTCTTTGGATCTTAATGTCAGCTGGACATTGGTCGCTGGCCACCCCAGGTGGCGAGGGTGAGGTGCATTAAGCACACTAGAACTTGGGTAGTGGCTCCGGTCAGTTTAGAGAGCAATTTTCCAGATACTTGGAGCAGTTGTGAGTTGTTAGCGGCTGACATAGCACCTGGGAAATGGGTGCATGTCTGGGAATCTTCAGGGCGCCGCCAGCAGCCCTGCTATGTTTGTCTGGATCTGCACATTTGCTTCTTGAAGTTGGAGAGAACCTGTATTTCCTGCCTGAAATGGAGCCATAATTATGTCACCTAGACTCCTATCTTTCATTTGACTCTTGCCTCTTGTTCATCCATCTCATTGCTCTCAGGGTGAAGAGGAAACACTTAACAAGGTCTAATGGGTCCTGCCAGACTCTCAGCCCCTCCTGATCCCACTTCCCTCTCACCTTCCTCTGCAGCATGCCTGGCTAGTGGCCATGGAGCATTCTTTCAGTTTCTGAGAATGTACTGTTCCCTCCAACTCAGGACTTTCATCCGTGCTGCTTCCTCTGCCTGGAACACCCTCCCCAACACCTTCTACCTCCCCAGCTTGACTAACATCTAGATCTTCGAATCTCAATTCAGAGAACATTTCCTCAGAGAAACCTCTTGAATCGCCCCATGAATCTGATTTCACATAAGTAACCAGTATTCAGTTAGTATCTTGACATATTTTTTTTTTTTTGCAAAGCAAAGGACACAAAAATATGCATAGATTTTCTTTTATTCAACAAAAATGTGATGTTCTTTTAAAAAATACATTTTATTGTTTTCAAAGAGGAAGGGAGGAGGATAGAAACATCAATGATTAGAGAGAATTGCTGATCAGCTGCCTCCTACACACCTCACTCTGGGGTTGAGCCCACAATCTGGGCATGTGCCCTGACTGGGAATCGGACCATGATCTCCTAGTTCATATAGGTCGATGCTCAATCACTGAATCAACCAGCCAGCAATAAAAAAAAAAGCTATATTCTTTTCTTTTCTTTTTCCTCTTAACAATATAAAACCATAGGAAACTATTCAGTTTGACATGGTTAACTGATTTTTAACTTATTGTTTTCTAGTGGATGAATGATATTCCATCATATGTATGTATATATCACATACATTATATGGATGAACAATAATGTATTTAAGAATTTTGTAAGCATGGATTATGTTTTACCCTGTTTCCCCGAAAATAAGACAGTGTCTTATATTAATTTTTTTCTCCCAAAGTTGCGCCAGGTCTTATTTTCAGAGGATGTCTTATTTTCAGGGAAACACGGATAGTACCTAAGTTGGCTGATGGGTGAATAACTTGCATATGTGTACAGGTATATTTGCTATTTATCAATTACCTCATGATTAAATTTAAGTAGTGAATAGAAATAAGAGAATGAACATGCTCAAAAGAATAAAGTAAATTAAATGAATGTTAAAATTAAAGAAAGCATTTCCATATTATAGGAGTGCAAATAGTTTCACTATGAGTATGTGTGTTTTCACTTTATAAACAGTGCAATGAACATCTCTCAACGAATATCCTTACATCCTGGTGCTTATATTTCTGAAGGCTCAGTTGCTAGAAGTGGAATTATTTGATCAACATGCACATGCACTTTAAATTCAGCACCCACTCCCAGATTCCTTTTCGCAAATCACACATCCACCATCAGTTGATGAGACTGCCCAGTTTCCAGCTTCTTGGACAGTATTGGTGTCTTTCAATCTTTCCAATGTTTGCCCATCTCTTGGCAAAGGAGTGGCTTCTCATTGTTGTTTAGACTTGCATCTTCTTGACTATTACTGAGTTGATCATCTTCTTATTCATAGATTGTTTTGATAATAAAAGTAATCCCTATGAGTCCTAGCCCAGTAGCTCAGTTGTGTAGAGCGTCGCACTGATATGCCAAGGTTGTGGGTTCGATCTCCAGTTGCATACAAGAAGCAACCAATCAATGCATAAGTAAGTGGAACAACAAATCAATGCCCCCATCTCTCTCTTCACCCCAAACCTCTCTCTGTGTCAAATCAATAAATTAAAACAGCCCCTACAATGATAGGACCTTGTGCTAATTTATGATGGAGGTGGAGGCTTTCTGAGTGTATCCTTTGCCTTTATCCATCTGTCCTCACCTGCTCTCCAGTGAAGACTGTGCCCCGTGGTTCCTGATGTGCCCGAATGTCCTCTGCTGTTCTCTCATGTCCCCAGAGGGTCAGGAGTTTTGGTCTCAATGAATACGGCAAGATGGTGGGGGTTGGCAGAAGGACCTGCACTGCCGGTGACCATCTCCCTCTGTCTCTTCACTTCCAGACTCTAGCCAGATGAACAACGCAGTGCCCACTTCCCCGTTGCTGCAGCAGATGGGCCATCCGCATTCATACCCCAGCCTGGGCCAGATTTCCAACCCCTATGAACAGCAGCCTCCTGGCAAAGAGCTCAACAAATATGCCTCCTTGAAGGCCGTCGGTAAGTGCTGTTTCGTTTCTCCTCTCTTCTTTCTTCTCTACTTTGCTGTTCCATCCAGATCTTTCTCTCTCTCTCCAACTTTTTTCAACTCCCTTTTCCCTTCTTCTAATCTCTCCCTGTCTTCATTTATCTATCTCCCAAAATCTCTCTCTTCTCTTTGTCCTGTCTCTTTTTCTATCTATCTATCTATCTATCTATCTATCTATCTATCTATCTATCTATCTATCTAACTATCTATCTATCTATCTATCTATCTATCTATTATCTATCTATCTATCTAGCTATCTACCTATCTATCTAGCTATCTATCATTCTACCTACCTATATATTCTGGATTTCTCTACCTGGTATATAGTTCACTAAGGATCAGACCCTTCAGCTGCTTTCTGTCTGACCTAGGTCAAGTCTGTCCTGGCTGTGTGGGGCAGGATTGGTGGGCAACACATGTTGAGGCTGTTACCTGGGGAGGTGGATCTGTATGCTCTTCAAGTCCCACTGACACCTCAGCCCCTTCTGCATCTACCATCTGCCTCAGGGGATCTAACATATAATCTAGAACACGGAGCCTCCGAATGCCTTGCCCTTTAATAGGCAGCACTCATCTACACACAGTCATTCTATCTCTGAGAGGTGGGTGAGCATAACGTTACCATCTGAGTTTTTATCAAGTGCGAGACATTGCACTGAGCCTTTGACCCTGTCTCATTTTCTCACAGTGAGCTAAAGAGGAAGGCCCAGTTATTGTCTCAATTTTCTGATTAGGAAACCAAGACTCAAGGAGGCTAATTGAACTTGCCCCTAATCAAGCAGCGGTGGACGACAGAGCTGAGACTTGAACCTGTGTTTTTATTACTCTGGAGCTTATGTTCCTGTCACTACCCTCCCACAGCCCTCCGTTCCATTTCCCAACTGGGACATGAGGGAGTTTTACAGTGACCCAGGACCTTCAAGAATGTACTCATGACAGAGTCCTATTGGGTGACAGCAATAGCCATGTTTAAGTCAGACTTTGGGCAAATAGACGACCCATGGACCAAGTGCTTTCTTTTATTATCAAGCTTCTTTTTTTTCTTTATTGATTAAGGTATTATATATGTGTCCTTATCCCCTAGTTGTCTCCTCCCTCCCCGCACTCAATCAGACCATAAACCTCAGAGGGAAGGTAGGGGAGGTTAGGGGTAAGAGGAAGAGATCAACCAAAGGACTTGTATGCATGCAAATCAGCCTACCCAATGGACACAGACACCAGGGGTTGAGGGTGAAGGTATTATCAGCTTTTCATCCCCTTTTCTTCTCCCACTGCCAAGGCCCTCATTAGAGATGGAGTGGGAGATACTTGCTGATGAATTCCAGTGTGAAATATCCTAATTCTGTTATAAAACTCATATCAGAAACCCAAGCACAGACACTGTCACATGTCTATGATGCTTGTGGTTGCCATGGTCTACAAACATCAGAGTCACAAAACAACCAAATTGGTACCCAGCAGAGAGCCAGGCACCTGCTAGGAGCTTAGTAAGTGTTTGAACCAGAACTCTTTCTTTCGGAATTCTTGTTTCCCGATCTCCCAGGACTTCCAGATGGAACCATGCAAAGAAGGATTGGGCCAAATTTGTAATACCAAGGACGCAGGCTGTGCAGACTGACTCGGGCTTTTCTAAATCTGAAGCTTCGTAAACCCTTACATACCAGTCCCCTATGCTTCATGTTTAATTTCTACACCCAACTGAACCCTCATCCACATCACAGATTCCTCTATTCCATATTGTGTGTTTGCACAGCACATGCATCTTAAGCATGTTCAAATAGACTCACATATCACTAGGAAGAGTGGAGGGCTGTTGCCTAGGAGAGCAAGAGGCAGGGCATCTGTGTTAATGTAACTGCAGAAGCCTCATACTCTTTTTGACAGCCTGCCTCTCTTTCTGAGCCTTGCATTTAAGTCATAAATTGTGTCCGCTCTTATGTTTGATTCTTCTCTTGGTAGACAAAAAATCAGTCCAGATGCTTTATCTTTTGGAACTGATCACATTACCCTAAATAACTCATTTGTTCAACTTAGGCCCAGCGCCTCATCCCCCCTCAAAATCCAGTCACTCTTTGGGTAAATAATGGATACATATTACCACAGAATTTCTTGATTTCAGAGTTCAGGATTTATGCATCGTGCAGAGCAAATATCTGCAATGCATTTGGAATTAAATCTGCAGTATGACAATTTATTTGACACTCTTCAAATAACCTTTCTTTCTCAAAGGAAGTACTCCTAAAATGTTTGTTGAATGAATGAATGAGCTTGTATTTGACAGAAATCAAAGAATAACTTAGTAGGAAGAGAGCCACACCTCTATATCCTCTAAAACATGTGAAGGATCTCTCTTGGGGAACACGCCCTAATCCTGGATATGATTAATGTGCCCTCTTGCTTCTTTTCTGACTATTGTGGGGGTTCACAGACTTTATGTGAGTCACAGACAGTTTTGGGAATCTCTAGTGAGTGAAGGTCCACTGAGGAGCTGACTGAGGAACTGCCTGACTCAGTGATTACCCAGGAGTCCAGCGTCTGCCTACACAAATGACATGCAAATCCCATAACAAACATTATTTCAAGTGTTCTTTATTAAGTCATAATGTGACCATGGTGTGAATGATGGGATACATTTCATTATTGAAATCATTAATACTCAGGAGAGAAGTTGTTTAAAAAAATGCTTTGCTGTTAAAAGCTCAGCAACCTCTGATAACCAGACTTACTTTATAAAAATATCAATTCAGTAAATATGAGGAGACTTGGACAGATTTTAGGGTAAACTGCCAAGTTTAAAAATACTGCTGAAAAATAAATTTCTCCTGGTGGCTTTCATATCCAAAACATCGAGTGGGTTAGGTGGTCCCTGAAACCCTTTGACCCAAGTTTCTGCATTTGAAAAACAAGAAGGCTGAATTATACAGTCTCCAAGCACCCCTCTAATTTTAAAATTAGAAACTTAAACAATTCCACTCACTCTAGTTATTACAATATCTGTGGGCCATTAAATTGTCCCATTCATTCACTTCCAACTCTGGGGGAGAAGAGGGTAGTAACTGTTGGTTATTCCTTTTATTTATTTATTTTTGGTTTGCATGTTGAAAACACACTCACTTGTGTTTGAAGGAAGCTCTTTTCTCTCTGTAATTCAGGAATTAGAACCTTTGCTTTTATATAGCATGTGACTACTGACACATCTCTTTCCCCAAGGGATTCACTCACTGCCCAGTTATCAGGAAAGATTACCACATGTTAGGGAAATGTCAGAGGCTAGACATCATTGGACTCATTGGACTCTATACAAGAATGAGAGATGGAATTGACTTATCATATATTCATTCATTCATTCACTCATTCATTCACTCATTCATTCATTCATTCCACAAACATTTAATCTGACACCCCTTTTTTATAGGTTTCATTGAGGCATGAACCAAAGACTGCCCCATTCATCAATGTATCCATGGCATCTAATGCCATGTGGGGAGTGATCCCATGTGATTAGTGATCCCACTATATTTTTGTAAAACTGGTGAATAATACCATGTGATTACATCAAGTCAGGAGCAGGAGGTGATGAGCAAGATGGCAGAAAGTCATCTGCAACATGTCCTCTGCAACTGGTTAGGACTGAGTTTAAGATCTAGTTTAGACATTTATCAAGTAATGGAAGAAATTATTTAATCTCCTTAGGTCTCAGTTTCCCCATCTGTAAAATGGAGATTAAAAATGTACAGCTAATGGTTAGTTGGAAAATTTTAATGATACAGGGCACAGAAAGTGCTTGACCTGATCCAGAGTCAGTCCTCAATAAATTCTGCCACATATTTGTTTGTTGCTCATATTTTCCCCTGAATCTCCAAGATACACTCCTGCCTTGATTAACATATAATTGCCCAGATTGCACTTTGAAGGAAGTAGATAGATCTAGTTGGATGGGAAAAACGGGCCTGAAAGCTAACTCACTTTGGGAATTTCATAAAACAAACAAGCAAGTAGGCCAACAGCAGATGACTTTTCAGAGGACCAGTAAAGAGGCAGCCCAAACCTCTTTGCTTCCCCCCTCTTTCTCCTGGACAACGAAAACCCACACCCAGGTGAAGGGCTACGGTCTATCAAAGAAGGATTCTATCTATACTTAAGTAACCCTCTTGCTAAGGCAGAAATGTGGGTTCAAGCATTTTAGAAATATTTTCCCCAGATTGGAAGTCAAGAGGTGTGTCTGATGATAGACTGAGCCAAAATGTGGCCTAAAAATGTAGGTAAGCACCCAAGTTCTCTGACCTGAGCCACCAATTCTTACAAGACGGAGGTGTTTGTCAAAATATCCCTAAGCATCACCTAATAATTCAGATAGGGGTGAATCCTGCCTCTGGAACTAGAAAAGGCCCACACTTTTCTGCAATTCCTGATGGATTTTGCATTTATCTCCCATTGGCATTTTTCTCCCATTGGCCTCAAGTCCAGCTTCTCCTCTAGATGCCTGAGGGTTTAAATCCTCGCCAACCAAAGGTTCCCAACCACGTGTCCTTTAGATGCTTCAGTGCAACTTTGGTTGCCTAGTGAGAGAGACAGGATGTACCAGCATGATTGATAGAATGCTGTGTGCGGTGCCTTTGTTTTTAATTCAAAATTTTAATAAGAAAATATTTTCTCTGTTGCTGTTTGACAGACGATGGACTATGTTTGCTGGAACCGTGTTACATTTTCCAACAGCACTTCTTAAAGCCACAGTAACAATGCATTTGGACACATGAAATTTCCTTTTTCACTTTTTTTTTTTGGTGTGAAAACCCTAAATGATGCATACAGGCCTCACCTATGAAATGACTTCTGTTAGTTTATTTTTGTCTAAAGTTATGGCAGAAAGGGAGCTAATATCGTTGAACACCCACCCAAACAGTATACCTCTGTGTTGCTCCGATGTTTTACAGATGGGGAAAGTGAGGCTCCATATAGTTAACTGATTTTCCCAAAGCCACACTTTTGTAGAGGACAGAGATAAGAGTCATACTTAGGATTTCCCGATGCAGAATCCTATGTTCTTTCCACAAAATGACGCTGTCATCCAGAGAGCAATTTCTGGCAACAGAAGAATATTACCAGCCAAAAAAAAATAATAAAAAAAAAAGGCTGAGAAGACCCATTTCCTCCTTTTGTAGGGTAAGAATTAGTAAAGTGTTAATTGCTTTTCATTGTTTGAAGGCAAAAATTGCCCTGTGATGCTAAGTATAATTGAAATATATTTAATGTATATTATATAGTTGAAGTATAATTTACACATAATTAAATACGCAGACCATAATTTTACAATAGTGTGATTATTAAAATATACATACACTAGGGTAACCAAAATCCCAGTAAAGATAAGAAATATTTTCATTTCCCAGAAAGTTCCATCATGTCCTCCTCTTCTCAATGCCTTAGGTCCATCCCTTTTTAATAAGAACTTAATTTTTCACATCCAAAATACTTATCTAATGTCCACTAGTGCCAAGGGCATAGTGAAATCATACCTATATGTCTTGATAGCCTATGTGCCCTCTGAGTAAGTGTCCTTATTAACAATGGATTAATGAAACAAAATTTGTCTGAGCCATGCCCTGTCTTGGATAATGGGGACAGAGGTGATCACAGCACGGTTCCTGTCTTCAATGCAAACAGTGATGGCTTTGACTGGGGGTGATAGGGCTTCCTTGAGCCCAGTGACTCAGTGGCTCGGCCAGGCTTGTGTCCACCCCCAGAGGACCACTGGGGCCAAGTAACTGTTTCCAGGTGTCAATGACCCCGGCTCAGAGGAACAAGAAACAGGAAGTCATCCTGGGCGGGTTCCACTTAATTTTAGCTTGTTAGTCTTCTCCTGTCACTCCAATGTCCCCTCTGTTGTGAATGATGAGGGTGTAGAGTTCAGATCCACAGGGGGAACATGGCAATTTGAGTGTCCTTTGGAACGCCTGTGAGGCCAACCGGAACTATTTAAATGGGGACAGATTTGTGCTCTGTAATCATTCAAATCACAGACTGTTCCCTGGCTCCTCTCAGCTGACAATCTGATGTGTCCCTGGGAACTTCAGAGACATGTTGAGAACTTGGTCTTCCCTGGTAGATTCCTAAGAAAGAGAAGCTGGTGGTGCACACTGATTGGTCAGACCTGTAGCCAATGGGCCAAGGCTGCTGCAAAGACACGTGGGCAGGTTTGCCCCGCTTTGAGTAAAACCCAATCTTACAGGGAAAGCCTACCAAGGACAGGCACAGGGTGTGTAGCCAAAGCCATCTTTTACTTTATGAAAGGGGTCCTCTGAGTTCTGCTAATACTGTGAGAGTCCCCCAGCGCTCATTCGGAACCTCTGAAATGGAATTCAATTCGGAGAAATTGATTTATAATAAAAATTCTGGGCATTATGGAATTCTCAGTACACCAGCATAGCTTTTAAGGGAATTTCCATACCTTAGGAAAAGTGACTCCTTGGAGAAACTTGAATTCATTCATTCATTCATTCATTCATTCAACAATATTTTTCAAACACAGCTGCAGTCAGCAGGGTCTGCCCCTATCTGGAATTTGATGCTAATAATCCACCACACCCCCTTTACAGAAGGGGGATTACTACAAAACAGGATCAAAATGTATCCCTTGTAAACACCGATTGTCATTAACCAAAGTCACCTCATCTAAACAGATTTTTCTCTGTTTCTTAGTGGGTTGAGATTTAGAGCTACTCACTGTCTAAGAATTCTCTCTCCCTTCATGCTACTGGAAATATCTAGACCTTTTGCAAGGGGCTTCTTATGATCCTCTGTGGGCTTTGTCTTGAAACTGCTTCAAGGCCTTGCCAAAAGAGATGCCCACATCACTTCACTTGCACATTTGGTCCTTTGCCCTGTTCCCCATGTCCCCTGAGGCCTGTCCCCTTTGGAGGCTCCAGCTGGGGCCACCAGCAGCACCTGGATGTGAAGACACAGTGAAACCGAAGCAAGAAACAGATCAGCATCTCTCCATTGTTATTTTTTAGGAAGTTCTGATGGTGACTGGGCAGTGTCGACACTTAAGTCACCAAAAGGTACCGAACGGTGTTCTGTAGTTTGTTTGTATAGGTGTTGTCAGACTTGACATGAATCAGTGGAGACAAAGAGTCCTAGTGTCTATGTATGACCCAATGCAAATGTGTGTCTGTGTTAGGTGGACCTGCAAGTCCGTTTAAGCGTCTAGATTCTAGTGTATAGATGTTGTGTGTGTGTGTGTGTGTGTGTGTGTGTGGTGTGTGTGTGTGTGTGCGTGTGTGTGTGTGTGTGTGTGTGTGTGTGTGTGTGTTTGCTCGCACATCCGGGGCCCATTGTTGAAGAATTACTACTTCTTGCTTTCCAATATGTACTGCCTGAAGGAAAATGTCACTCCCAGAAACCATCCCAAATAAGACCTCCGGGAAATGCTGCTTTGTCTCAGACAACATGGCAAAACACAAGGTAAATTAACGCAGGAAGAAACACAACTTCCGAGGGAGAGATAAACAGATAGATAAATGGAGAGAAAACATCGCCAGGATCCTTGGGGATGATTAGGCTTTTAGGGAACAGAATGCTATTTTCAACTTTCCTGAGGTAGCATCAAAAGTGAAGGAGTTGGTCTACTTGAAACTATCTGGGTGAACAGGAGGCGAATTCAGCTTGTTCCCTGAATGTGCCACACCGAGTGCTTTGTTATCATTTAATCCTCTCACATCCCAGCAGTGTAGGTGTTATCAATCCTCTTTAGAGGTGAGGACATGGGAGTCTGAGCGAGGATGTCTGGTTTGCCTACCATCGCAAGGCTGGTACCCTGTTTCCCTGAAAATAAGACGGTGTCTTATATTAATTTTTTCTCCCAAAGTTGCGCTAGGTCTTATTTTCAGGGGATGTCTTATCTTTCCATGCGCTAGGTCTTATTTTCAGAGGATGTCTTATTTTCGGGGAAACACGATAAGTGGTAGAGCTGTAATTTGCACCCGTGTCTCTCTCACTGTAATGCTTAAGTTATTTCTCATGGTGTGACGGGAGCAGCTCTTTTCAGAACAGACGGGAAACTTGGTTCCCTTCTTTCTTCACTCCGGTGCTCTGTTGGATCAGTAGTAGGGAGAATGTAAGAGACCCAAAGAGGTTAAAGTAGAACTCTTTCATGACCTTGAACAGGGGGACATCTGAAGACATAGCAGTGCTTTAGGCAGGATCCTAGCACCACCAAATTTGCATTCTCAAAAGCTAGATCTGGTTTCCCAGTGGAGAACGGATTAGGAGAGAGTGGACTGGCATTGGAGATACCCACTGGGTGGCACCTGCCATCACCCAGGTGGGCAGTAACCTGAACTGGGGCTGGTAGAGAAAGGAGAGAAGAAAAAGGAGTAGAAGGGTAATTAAGAAACTGGAATTCAGTGAATGAGCACCTGTGAATGGGAAGGAGGGAGTGGTGGGCCCACCAGGGGTTCTCACATTTGAGCCATTTGAGGGCATGCACATCAGCATAGCTTGAAGGGTTGCTAAAAATCCAGATTCCTGAGCCCCGCCAGAGATCCCTACTCCATAGCCTTGGGTGGCTTGAATTGCTAACAGATTCTAAGATGAAGTTGATGCTGTTGGTCTAGGGACCACACTTTGAAAATGACTGCAATTGGAAACCAGACCTTTTGATTAGGTTTCCAGGCATCCTGTGGGCTGAGGGTTCTGACGAGAGGAGCTTGACCAGGGCCCCTGAAGCTCAGAAACAACCTGAGCTCTGGGGGGGGGAGGGTGGTGAGAGGGGCTGCACTGCATTCCCTTATTAAGAGCCAAAGCTTCAGATCCTCGTGTCTAATGAGAATCCCTTGGCGACTCAGTTGTTGCCTTGAAAGAGGCAGATTTTCGGGTCTTGCGTTAGATAATAACTAGTCACATGTCAACATCCATTTTTAGAAATGCAAACAATTTGGAACATGGCAGACCTACTAATTTGAGGCATAAACTTTTTTCCTCCCCTGTGAAAAACAAAGCCATTATGAGTCCCGTGACAGCCTTCGGAGGCAGTCAGCATCGCTGTCCGTATTATCAGCCTGTTGTCTGATGCATTTAGAAAATAGTTCAAGCTGGGTCCAAAACAAGGCTTGGAAGCTATTTTTCTCTGCAAACTGAGCTAATTCCACCTGAACTGCTAAATGCATCTTTATTTATCCTGGCCTATCTAGAGAAGAGAGAAGGGGGTCCAGAGAGGGCCAGACCGAGTTCCCCGGGGGTCACTGATCTTCCTCTAGCCTGTAGACCCCGCGTCCCAAGTCACCATGAGGTGTAATAACAAGATGGGGGAGATTGTTGTCTCCCACACTTGCCACCTTCTCGAAAGGAAGACATAAGCAGAGAGTGATGGGCTTAGCTCAGACATGCCTGGGTTTCAAGTGTGGCCCCTTCAATTGGTATTCTTGTTACCTGCAGCAAGTCGCTCACCCAGTCAAAGCCCCTGTTTTTTTTGTTGTAAGAATGAGATGAGACATCAAGTACAACACATGTCACAGTGCCTGGTATGTGGGAAGTCAATATGCATGAGGGCCATGACTGGTATCATTACTGTTACAATCGGAGGAACTAATGAAAGGTGCTGAAATATCCCCGTGTCATAAAAGCACAAACTTGGTATAAACCACCATTTTCTGACCAATTCTGATGTCTGATCTCTTCTCTCCAGGAAAATCAGTTAGTATTTTACCATCCCATGGCAGGAATGTTGCTAGCAACCCACTGTGGGAACATAGGCAATGAGCCAATGAGAAGGCAGAGGGGTGAGTGTCACGTGGGGAGGCTGGATAAGGAAGGGGTAGCTGTGAAGGAGAAAGAACAAGGTCCGGCATTGACGGTAAGTCACTTTGGAGGGGAATCATCTGCCAGCACAGGAAATGACAAACAGCACACCGTTTTTGCACTATTCACTTATCGCTACGTAAGGTCCCCCAGGCAGATCGCCTCCTAGTGGTCCTGCTATTGATCCACCGTGCCCAACCCTGGGAAGTCTTGGCATATTCTTTTAAAATCCGGGACAGAAGACACCACGACCTCAAAGCCAGGGGACTCTACTAATCACAATAAAAAGGAACGTCTTTTGAAATCTGATTCTTTGGCAAAATGAATCCTCGAACCTGACACTGAACTTGGGGAAAACTGCCAGCACAGTACTGTGATTTGATCGCTCTGGCTCCGATTAGAATCAGGCTGTATGCTCTTGTGCAAACCATGCACATACCCAGAACATCCATTTCTACCATTTCCAAAGCAGAGGCGATGATAACATCCGCCCTCCATCAGGATTGGGAGAGTAATTTTATGAGACAAGGCAAGTAATACACTTTGATGAAGACAATGAAGAAAATACACTTCACTCAACCTTTCTGCTTTTACAGATGAAGGAACTGACATAAATGCGATAAATAATGTTGCTCAAAATTACACAGGAAAATTACATTACGCCTAGGACCAGGACTCAGACTTCAAAGAGTGGCTTAAAGACTTGATCCAAAATTACTGGCGGTGCTTGTGAGAAGTGCAAATCTTGCACTTGGATGAGGCGGGCCTCCACATTTTTCCTTCACTTTTTAAAGTACACCTTCTCGATAAGTCTGTACACTAAAGTTTGGACCTGTTCTTTCTAAGACCCAGTCATGGATGCAAACACAATTTCCCCTCAAACACCATTTTTTCACATGCAAGTCTTCCTGCAAACATGATTGCTTTTGTTCTTTGCTGAAGTAAAACTGTTTTCTTAGTTGGAGTTTGAGCTGGGGCTATAGCTGGAAGGAAAGGATGCTGGAGATGGACAGTCTTAGGTTAGCTGTCCTGCTTCACTACTTATCAGCTGTGGCAGAATAATTTGGCAGCCAAGTTACTTTATATCTCTGGGCCTTCATTCTCATCTGTCACAGGGGAAAATGATACCATCTTGCCACCTATCTTAAGAGGGTTTAAGTGAGATAATGCTGGTGAAATGGCTAAAGCAATGTCTAGTACATAGTAGGTACTCAATAAATCTTAGTTATTTCCTTTTCCCCCCAAGAAAACTGGTATAGTGTAGTGATAAATGTGCATCTAAGAGATGCCACAGAAGGCACAAGGCAGAGAGAATGTGTAATTTGGGCTTCAGTTCTGCTGGAGTCCACATCTCTTGGGGGAAGAACTCACCTGAAAGCAGTCTTAAAACATTACTTCATGAAATTCAAGCTTTTGAAATTTTCTGATTTTGATTATTGGTTTGCTTGTCAGCAGAAGGGTACAGAGCAGGTGGAGGATAGGAAGGTGATTTTCTTTTTTATTAAATAAAAATCAAACCCCACCAACTCCTGAGTTTGGCCTCTTCTGAAAAGCACACAGCAAGCACTGGAGTTTTGATGAGCTTCCTGGGGAACCTATAGGGGATGAAATGAGTCGGTGGAGAAGATTCTTTGCTTTGCAGAAAATTCCATTGCAGCAAGATTGCAACAAGCATCTGAGTAGTTTGGAAGTCTGTCTCTCTGAGGCTAAGCCAACTAGATCATGTTATTTCAAATTTCCCCAGCACTTTGAATGCTGCCCATAGCACATTGATGATGCTCAGTATATATTTTATTAGTAAACTAAAGGCCTGGTGCAGGAGATTCATCACCAGGGGGCGGGTCCTTCAGTCCAGCTTATGCCCTCTTGCAGTCTGGGACTCCTTGGGGGATGTCCCCTGGGGATCGGGCCTAAGCAGCCAGTCAGACATCCCTCTCATAGTCCAGGGTTCTTGCAGTCTGGGACCCCTCACTCCTTGCTGCCCTCATGGAGCAGAGGCAGGAGAGGCTCCTGCAACTGCCATTGCACTTGCCAGTCATGAGCCAGACTTCTGGCACTGAGCACCATGGGGCAGCTCTTATGCTGAGTGCCCACAGGTGGTCAGTGCCCAACATAGCAACCTGTCCACTGTTTGGTTGATTTGCATATTATTCTTTTATTATATAAGATTATTAAGTGAAGCTGGGCATCATGTTGTCTTTTCTGAAGAGGTGCTGGAATATAGCAGGAAAATCAACTGGATAGAAGTCAGGAGAACTGTACT